ATAATAATAATAATAATAATAATAATAATAATAATGATAATAATAATAGTAGTAGAAGTAGTAGCAGTAGCAGTAGCAGTAGCAGTAGCTACCTGTCTCTTATACACATCTAGATGTGTATAAGAGACAAACTAGAGGCTATGGTTAGCCTGAAATAGCGGTCCAGCAGCAGGCTATGGCGAGGTTGGGCCTAAACTAGAGGCTATGGTTAGCCGGAAATAATGATATACATCAATCTTTCACAATTTTATCTTAATTATTTTTACAGCTCTTTGTACATACCGGTAATTTTTACAGAATTATCAGAGTCTCCTCAACTTCCTTTGTTCAAGAAAGGATAGTAGAACATAAAACATAATGTAATTTGGTACTTATATTAATTGTATTGTATAATATATACATCTGATGATGGAATTGGTTGATTCTAATTTGTCCATCCATTGTTTTTTTCCAATAGCAATTGTCACAGTTCTGGTATGATGATCAAACGGCAGGAGCGCTTGCGAGCGAAGTTCTTGACGCTGCTGGCGTGAATGGCAAGTGAGTTGAAATTGTTAATATTGTAGTTAATCATTGGGACAGTTTTTGGGAAGCTCTTTTAATATTACTGTAGGGAAAAAAAGAACATGAACAGAGGCAGTTGTGGGGCTGATAATACTTGCCTTCCATTTCCAGGGGTTTGTAAATATCCTGGATTGTGTTTCTTATAGCTAAATCGAGAGCATAATTACCCTGTGTGTAATGAAACACTTTGAGAAACGGTTTTAAATACAATGTATGCAGTGTCAAAATAAAATAAATAACTCAACGAAGACATAGGCATTTCGTTATTAACCTTTATTTACGATGACGTAGGACCTTTGATAGGCCTACATGGGAACGGAATTAAAAGTGCCACGCCAATATTTTGTTTATAAGTGCCACTCTTGAATAAGTGCCGCATTAAAGCCTCCAAAAATGTCATAAGCGCCATGGTACAGTTTTTGGTTTTTCCAAAACATTACTATTGTGTAAAACCAAGGGGGTATAAAATAATTATTATATGCTGTACCTCCTTTGTAAAACATGCTGGTTTTTTTTGCAGAATTGCTTGCTTGTGTACTCCGACACTCTTCAAAAAGTTGCGAAGCCTCCCAGATTCCAAAACAACCAGTTGTACTGTCAAGTTGTTTGAATTTGATGAACGTTTTTCGACGTACGGTGATGACTACATATTTTATGACTACAACAAGCCATTGGAAATTGCTGCCGATTTCGAAAGTGCATTTGATATTGTTGTGGCAGACCCGCCGTTTTTATCAGAAGCTTGTCAACAGAAAACAGCTGAGACAGTCAAGTTTATTTGTAAAAAGAAAATTATAATGTGCACAGGTAAAGTAATTATTATACTGTAATACTTTTGTGCTCTTGTAACAAGGGTAAAGGTTAAAGGTTAAATGTAAAGGTTAAATTTGACTACCACACCCCAACATGAACTGTTTATTATTTGAGGTATAGAAACTACACTACTTCACCTCAAACTATGTTGTATTGTATCATACTCCTGTGTAGAGATAGACAAATGCTAAGGCTTGGTAAATGGTAGTATTCAATCACTGCCACTACTGCTAGGTGTGCTAACACAGTATTTTATCTTTAGTTGTGAAAGTCATATTCTGTATATTGTTTCTGTAGGAGTCAAAAATTAAGGGAAAACCCCTGTAATATTTGAATTCTTTGATAGGTTGCATGTACTGTAACTTTCTTAAACAATTACAGTACATCTGTCTCTCTTCCAACTTTATTGTCAACAACAATTATATCCTTAATTAATAAATTGACAAAGGATGATAAGGTATAGTTAAATAAAAATAACCTAAGCTTAACACCTTCTTGATGAAAAACAATAACAACCAATTTTTCTAGATGTTACATAAGTTAAATTAGGACGAACAATAACGGAAGCAGGAGATAAACATTATTATAAACAAAATTAATAATAAAATTGAAAATGTAAGTGATAAGTTAAAGTAAATGGATCAGAAATATATTTAATAAATAAACAACTTCATTGGAATGATTTCTGCAATTAATATTTCTAGTAATTAAAGAAAGGTCATTCCATAATTTAACAACATTAAATGAAATTCTTTGTTGACCTAAATTAATACAAGGTTTGGGCAAGGCAAAATTAACATCTAAAATTCAGTTACATTCTTTTCTCAATTTCTGTTTCTTTTACACTTTATGCAGCTGAAAATATTGTGCTAACAATATCGCATATTTTTATAAAGTACACTGTTGCAAATAAATATCATTGTTATAATACCAGTGCCAATTTGATCAGTTTTAGTTTTTACCATTCAAACTCATTGTTTTTCTTTTCGTCCTTTGTTTCAGGAGCTGTGATGAAGGGTGTTTGCGGTAATCTCCTAGGATTGAATGAGTGCCATTTCAAGCCAAGACACACCAATAACTTAGCAAATGAATTTATATGTATGACCAACTATACCACAAAATATCTCAACTCAAGCAGTTGATGGTAGTTGTAAACTAAGATAACCTGTTATTAAATTAATTAAGGATATATGTGGCACAGGCAAGCCAAATCATTGTTTTGTGATTGTTGTGTCCGTAGTACATGTTGTGTTTTGCTCTTGTTAATTGTCTCGACAATACCGTTGTAAGGCTGATTTTTCAAATATTGTTCTTTAAACAGCTGTGTGTTTAAACACTTTTAACTTTCTAATGAAACCATTTTATAGCGCTCATTTTAGTGTTTAACCCTTTATAAAGAACGATTTTTGCAAAGGGTGACTGATTTGGCTTTGTCATTGCAACATATTTTGTCTGTGTTGAGCTAATAGGCCTTGAGTACTGTATACTTACATGTAGTCCGAGCCATTTTCCTGTCTCGAGTGATGATGGCCTTCCAGTGAGTCCTGTTCTTCATCATTGTTGGTAGGTCAGTTGCCTCCAGTCCAGTGTCCTTGCACAACACATTAATATAGTTCAGGGTCTGAACTTATCACAGTAGCGCCTTCGACACTGGTTCATTCGAACTCCTATGACGGTGGCCAGCAAAACTCTTGCGTCTCATTCTGATCTACTGTATTTTGTAATTGATTTTAAAGCTTTTAGGGCATGGCTGTTGGAAAATGTAACTGAAGGAGCCAATATTTCCTTTTGAAAAAAAAGAGAAGCCCCACAGGGCTGAATCCATTTTTGAAGTACACAAAATTTTAGCGATCTCATTATATAAAACCGGCTTGGCTGGCCTAAAGAATACTCAGAAATCAAATACGCATGTATGCCATATTATGTTTGACGTCTGGCCACTCTTTATCGGGTTTATTTTGAAACAGTGCTGCCAACGTCTTGCAATTCACTGGGGGACTTTCAGCAACCTGTCCTAGCCTGGGCAGCTAGCTAGTGTCCAGTAGAGCGCCGCGCACACACTGGTAACTACGTAGCGTGAAGTGCGTAGGCCTCTGGAAGTCCACCAGTGTTAGTTGTCAGGTTATCAGAATTTTCATTTCAAATTTTTACGAAAATGGTGTATAGGCACTGACTCTTCCAGTTGGCTTATTGCTGTTTTAAGCTGTTTCACCGTGTAAATAGCTAAATTTGCAGATGACTCTGTTAGCTTTCCCGAATGAGAACTACAAACTGTAGGCCAAATGTACACAATTGGCTCATGTGCACATCTTTCAAGATGAGTAGGGGGTTACCCCGGTGTACTGGCCCATACAGCCCCTGCATGAACTCCTCCAGATGATGAGTAACTGAAAAAAAATCTTTTTAATTAATATAATCTTCATGTTTGGAGAGCCTCTCCATAAGCTTTGACTTTTTAGGCTATCCGCCAGGCATGTGCTTGGCTTGGTGAATTGTGTTTTTAGGTATTTTCTTTTTACGTGTTTGTATTCATTTTGTTTAAATTTTTTGGTAACTTGTATGCCTGAGAAATAATAAAATAAATAAATATACCATAAAGTATACATATAGCAAATCAAAACAATGTACTCTTTTATAACACAGCTTATATGAAGTTTATATATTATTGTCACAGTCGTATATAACACAAACCATAGCTTCATGTTTCTTATTGTTACAAATGTGTATGGAACATATTGTGGCAAAGAGTAATCAGCATTGGTATTCAACCGTACAAAGCACCGGTACCCAGTAATGCTCCTGGGGGACAATGTGGATAAAGTACCTTGCCTAAGGGTGGTGGTGATGGTGATAATGATGATGACTGTGGTGGTGGTGATGATTGTGGTGGTGATGATAATGGTTGTAGTGATGATCGCTACGATATTGATGATGGTGGTGGTGATGATGATGGTGGCGATGATCGCTACTATATTGATGAGGATGGTAATAGTGATGATAGTAGTGATGATAAGCAAAAACAATTTGCTTATCCAAATAACATTATTTTGATTGCGTTGTTAATTTGAAAGGACAATTTTGGTCATACTAAGCCATAAAAACTCTCCCTATGATAGGCACCAGAGATTTTCATTCCATTCGCTTGGTTCGGACCCCCTGTCGGACATTCTGGAGCGACCACTTGTGATAGGTGACGGGCCCAATGATAATAATATTAATAACAATAATATTATTAATAATAAAAATAATAATAATTAATATTATTATGGTGTTACTTTAATTGGCATGGCACCATTGTCCATCTGCGTATGCCAGCCTGTAAAGATGTTTACTTAGTAATCAAAGAAAATTCAACAGGTTGTTAAACATAGTGCACACAATTTATTTTCATATTAAAATTCCCACAGAATCAGCTGCAAATAAACAAACAAAATGGCGTATGTAGCGCTATACATTGGCCCGGAAATATTTCATTATTAATAATTTGAATTACTGTAAGTAAGAGTTGATATGCTAGACTTTAAAACTTATTGTACAGTACTAGCTTCAACATAGATAGTGTTCTTCACTGGATAAACTTTTTATGTAGTATCGAACATTACACTGAAGTAAACAATGGATTGTTAAAAAATTAATAACTTATTCGGATTTACGCACACTTCTGAATAGAAGGTGCGTCAATTTGCATGAGCAAATAAACATAGTTTTAAAAAAAACATAAGCTTATATTAAAATAGAACGTTCACGAATGTGCAAGAAACATGGTTTCATGAGTCTGTATATATATATATATATATATCTGTGGTATCCTATTTTTCCTATATAATAGGTTATAGAACAGTCCTGTCATATGTACAATTAAATCTATTCATGAAGAGTCAACGATATAACTGTGATAAAAAAAAATATTCTTCCCTTTTGTATATCTAAATTTACTGCAAATTAACTTATGTTCTAACCTGGTTCTAACTAATAGGCCTACATTGAAAAAGTGTTCAAAGATGATGAATTTATGTTTCTTCTAAATTCAAATTGTAAACAAACATTTTGCTGTAAGAAAAAGGGTTAATCCTTAATTGTTTAATTGTGTTTAGCAATAATAATTATTATTTGGGATATTTGGGTGTTTTTTTAAAATTATATTTATACTTTATTTATTATATCATTGTTTTGAATTTGACTTCTTTATGAATCTTGTACTTCAACTTATAACTTAAAGTTTAGTACTGTAATAATAATAGTAAAAATAATAAATAACAATAATTTTCAATTGAAAACTGCCGATTTTATACTATAATTTTATTCTAAATGTTCTTACTTCAATGTGATACTTAATAGAACTTTATGTTTTGCCTTGTATATTGTTAATTGACGTCTTTTTAATGTTATATTTTAATTACCTTCTCAGTGCTGCACTCTTGTTTCATCCAAACATTGACGCTATTTTTATACTAAATTGATTGCAATAAAGATGAATTTAATTGAATGTCATTCGTTGAGAGTTGAGTATTGATTGTTATGATTCGTCGTTCGTATATATCTTTGTTTGTTTTTTTTGTATTCTTCATCCAATCGATCGCTGTTTTATTCATCCATTCATTAAATCATCCATCCAGTCTTTATTCATGCATTCGTTAGTTCATGCGTTCTTTCGTTTATTCAGTAAGTCAGAAAATGCTTCATTCATTTGTTCATTCCTTTCATTCTGCTTACTGGTTTTAATAAAAATTTATATAACAATAAAGATACCTTAATTAATAAACAAAGATGTTTTTGATTATTGAATTTAAAGTAAGCCGATTTAAACATTTGAATATGTTGTAAATTATTTATCTGCATATTTTTATACTACTTATAATATTTTTGAATGTTTCTTCTCGATATTATCGATTCTTTCGCTGTAGTTATATATTTTATTTACTATATGCTCCCTGTTATTGGCGTTTTCGCTGTTGGGGGTGAAATAAAATAAAATAAAAAAATAAAAAGTATATTGCAACACGTGTATTGTCAATAATGCTTATACTATAATAATATCTATCTACTTTTATTATATTATGATATATTGCTATTGTTGCTGCACTACAACTGTGAGCTCGTCGGGAACAAGTTTATACAATCAACTAGACCTAGTTTTCAATCCCTACCCTACCCTATCAAACCCTCACCGCCCCACCCCATACACTCTACACTACTTTTGTTAAGACACAGTTTTACACATTCATTTTTACATATGAAAACGGTCACAAATTGAGGTCCTGCTGTGTTCATTGTTATCTGTATAACATCCTGTCCTGTATTTTAGTGTTTTACCTCTTAGGCCAAATGAATGGCGCATCGTCAGGAAAGCTCAGTTCACACGAGATTAATTTAGATGCGCAGATATGCGATCCGCTTGCGTCAGCGCGTGTAAATAGTTTTAGTGTAAACCAAGCCTAAAGCTGCATTCACATCGGGTCCCAACCGAAACTTCGGAATCGCATGCCGAAGTGCTGAACGCCAGCGTCCCTATTCTTACACTACACACTGATTCGATTTTCTGCTCGGTTCGGTAGGTTTTCCGATCAAAAATTCGGATTCGGTGTGAATGCACCTTAAGTGTGCAGCGGGCCACTCGGTGGCCGACCAACACGCATAGATCTACGAAATCAAGATATGAGTGACACTGCAGTCAATGGTAGTTGATTGATAGACGAATAATCTCAGTTTTGTAATACTTCATTCATGATTAACTTGTTTGGAACATATCAGCGAGCAACCGTTCAATCGGTACTGTCCCGATTGTCTCTCTGAAGAACATATTTTCTATGAGTTTAGGACAAACACTGCGAATTGCTGGCAGAATAAGAAGAAGCTTTCCGAAGCGTACTGACTCTCGGGGATAAGTCGTCCGTTCGTAATCACTTAGCATAACCTGGGCCTGGTCCTGCAAGGTCTCCACCTGTTGCGGTTCCTTCAGGGCGTGGGTTTCTGAGGGGTGATAATAATAAAATAATATAAATAAGTAATGCGCACATTCAATCAACAGTTCGAGTCTCACAAGGGTGTCAAAACGGTTGTGCCCGTGTGGTGCAAAACCCCAGTTTGGGAGATGGTTGGGTGGGGTGGTGGGATGTTCCCTCCTCTATTTTATTTATTCTTTTTCTTATCTGAATTTTGGAGAGTATATATAT